AGAGGTGAGAAATGAAGTTGTAGACAAACAGTTGATGTTTCAAAATATAGTCTATAGTCCATACTCATACTGTCATAGGACATTTCAGACTGTGATATATCAAAATTTAGTGTAGATATAGTCTAGTAATGGTATGCAAACACTGCTGGACTGTAGAACATGCAATGAGCATATATACGCTCATTTAGTACATCAGATAAAATGCATTATGTATTCAAGGTATTAGTTAGTATTTAGGGGTATTTTTTAAAATCGTGCTGCTCCAAATATTATTTTCTTCCTTATTTTAGATACTGTACTACAAAAGAAAACGGCAACGTCCACCAATCCGACCTAACGCAGGCTCTGATCCCTGCTGCTATCAGTGCTATAAAATGGATTAAACAAGAAGTCTTGAAGCTTAAAGGTATATAATCATAATAGTTGCAAACAGCTTAGATGGGCTATTCATATTGAAATACTTTAGCACTTTTCTGCAATTGGAACTGCCCATCAAATTCATGTTGGAGACTTCATTGAGATTTTCAATTCATTTTTTTCCCTCGACTATGAAGATCTTTTGAGGTTAACGAGGTATTAATAAATAAAGCTGAGGAATTGGAAGAGGGTATGAAGAATGTAAATGATACCAGGGCACGTCTATTTAACACTGTCAAACATAAGGATTATACTCTCCACCCAACAATGATTCACTGAAGAAGCATGTGGCCCTCAAATCAGTTCTTGAGTTGGCAAACTGCAAAGAAAAATAGTCAAAATAATTTATGAAAGTGTGCCAAAATCAACTTAAATTGCACAGATTTTTGTTTTTGTATTGACTGCAGCAATCACAGTACACCTATAGAGGAAAAGTCGATTTTTGAGATAGTGGATTTCGAAAACAATTCAGAAGAAAGTGAATTAGATATTACAGTTGATTTAATAAGTATCATACATTTTTTTTTTTTCGGACATTTGTTAGTGTCGTAGTCCTGTTTCTAGAAATATTATTGCCTTTGTTCAAATACATAACCACATAAACTAAAAAAAGATTAATTGTAAATTGTAATATTTCTGTTCACTATGTTATGTACATATTGTACATTCATTTAATTTTCTTGACTTTTGCGGGAAATTTCTAAGTGAGAAATAACTGATTTATTTGTGTTTTCGTGCTCACGATGTTAATTTGTGACTTCATTGCTTAAAAATAAATACGTTTGATACTTGATAGCTTCTATAAAATGGATGTAGCTTTTTATGCTGTTCTTGTTGTAAACTGCTTGTGGTTATTACATAAAATTTATTCTCAAATGTGAATCAGCGTTGTTGGTGTCGCTGCTTTCGAGGTCACTCCCGACTCCTGTCACACAATTAAAGTATTTTTTGTTGTTGGTTACATGTATGCCATATTTTTCGTAATCTACCTAATAAATTATGATTGACTGAGGAAGTCCGATTTTGGTCAGGCAAAACATTACAGGAATACATTTGTGTTAGTGTGCTGTAGGGCTCTCGAATTGTATAGTTCTTATGTATGCGTTGTAAACTTATGGTTATTGAATTTCCGGGAACCTCTTATATTTAATTTCGCACCAGGATTGTGGAACAAGCTGTAGTGCGTTCATTATGTTCGTTTTCACACAAAACTGAAGAATTTATTTAGTTACCAGATGTGCGCTACGAAACTCATTTTCTGGGCGTTTTCATGGTTTCGTCTCACGGCCCATATCCGTGGTAAGGATCTACAAGTGTTTAATAATTTACTTATACATTTTTCAACAACGTCTTAGCATAACTTAACTAATAATAACTAAACAGGGCTATGGAAAGCCTGCCCAACTCAGCGCAAGGTCGAGCAGAAATAACTAATATTCATCCGCTCGCTAACAGCTGGTTTAATTCAATTGTTACGTCATGCAGAAGTCATTGTTCAGTGCCGAAAATGTAGAGAATATAGGACAGATCGTAGCACATATTTCTTGTAGTAAAAGCGTCTTTTCCGTAAAACGTGCAACTTTTGGAAGTGGGAACAAGGCAATATTTGTTACTAAATTTTTAAGGAACATTTTAAAATCATTTTCAGGCAGTTACCTGATGTGCGCTACGAAACTCACTTTCTAGGCGTTTTTCAGGGCCTCGGCTCGCGGCCTAATATGGAGAAAGCATATCGTTCACTGCAAAAATCCCTGGGATATCTTGCCATTGAAATTTAAATTTTGCCATTTTCATGTTTTGTGAATTTACACAAAAAAGTTTGTTTTTTATTTTATTATTTAGAGTACATTTTGTTATCAATTATGATTTTTGCATATACTGTATATTATTTAATTTTAACGATCTTTTATAGAGTCATGTATATAGATACTGTTAATTTTAATGCAATTATACTTTTGCAATCGATAGTGATATATAGAATTTGGACAAGGGACGCAGCCAGGATTTTGTTCAACGGGGGGAGGGGGGAGGGGCATTACGATGAAATTAGAACAGTGCACCAAAAGTTCAATTCACGACGGCGTGAGGCGTGGAATAAATTAAAAACAATGCGCCGTTCACAGCGAAATTCCACAGTTACTTGTAGCTCGCCTCTGTTTTCTTGACGGTGTTTGGTGAATATATACAAAAACACGTACGCTCGAGTGTAGCGCCGATCGAATGCATGAAATGTGGAACTTTCACTTGGAATTTAATGCTAATAAAGTTGATTTTTATTGTCATTCAATGATTATTTAGATGCGCCGTGATTAGTGGTGGGCAACATCGTATTTTTTTATATAAAATTTTTTGAATTTTCTAACGAACATCGGCGAAGATGTTAAAGACAACTATTAAGGAATATATTCACGACAAAAATTAATTTTATTCTGATTTTTATCTTCAGTATAGGATTTGTATCACAGTTAGGGTCCCAGTTCTAAGCGAACAATATTATCATTACTGACGCCGCGATGCGATATTTGTGAAGCTGATAGTTGACATTTTTATGTTTTAATTTTATATCGTTTCCGTGTTACTTTCGTATTAAATAATAATAATAATAAAAAATCTGCAAATTGGTAATCTCTTGAATACTCAGTGTTGAGTATTCACGTAACTCAGCTTTGGTTTAAAACACTGATACTTAACTCGTGAATAAATCAGCAGTAATGGCATTTCTACGTGGTCAAAATATTTTTTCTACACAGTATCTCGGGAAATTTGCGTAAAGTACATTATTCATATGCCTTGCTTATCTGATTCAACGTTTCTAAATGTACAAAAACGATGTTGACGCGATTTACGCAAAATTAGAAATTGAAAAATATGATGGCACAAAATTGAAACAAAAAATTCTCACATTCATCGTTTCTGCCTGTTGGCGATAGCCGTCGGTAAATTTTACGTAACTCATTGTGAATTTATGTTAATAAATTCTATTTTGCTTTTCAATGCGCCCTGCTTTGTATTAAAATAAAAGAGAACCGGGAAGAGAATGTCCTTAAATTAGCTTATAACCCTTCTTTCATTTTGAACGCCCATAACGGCGGTTACATACGCGTTACTGAATAACAATCAACAATCACGCATTCTTATTTATCATTATCAGCGCCAACTAAAAAAGATGACATATCGTAAAGATAAAAAAGTCTGGCGGTGTAATTGCGCTGCGGTGATAATACACAGAATAATATCGTTTTGACGAAACCATATTGCGCGACCGCAGGACGACGGTGCCGCTTTTTTGTGGAAGAAGTTTCACATGGAAATTTTTTCTCAAACGGAAGGGGGGTTACGACCTATGTAAAGGGGGACGCGGGGCATTGTATTCATTGGTATAGGATGGGTTTAACATATTTACCCAGGTGGAGAGGAAAGCCGATTCCCTGCTATTCTTCTAATTTTTGTCTTCGTTTTTAATGTCAAAATTTCCCAGACTGCCAGTGTAATTTAACATCGGGGAGCCCTGGGGGTTCGTATGTTGCACCTTATAAACTATGATTGCGAGAAACCGTGGTTCGCCATATATTTAGGCCTTCTTATCGCCTTTCCTTTCCCTTGGATGAATATGTACCTGAATCCCATGCTATAATCAAAAATAATCGCACTTGACTTCATATTCTGCGCTAGCTACGTTTTCTGCCTAATAGATATGCATTCCCAATAAGCAATTGCTCATAGTTAGTATGCTTTCAACGTACCATACTTCAAAACCCAAAACCGAACACGACTCGAAAAATTAAAAGCCTCAATACGGCCAATTTTGCACCCGGCGCGGCCGAAGCAAGGAATTTTTGCCAGAAGCGATATGCTTTCTCCATATGCAACGAACCATTAACTAATTATTTTAGCTGGACGACGTAAGAAATGCAGGGCACAATGGATTGACGAGCAAATATTTGTAAGTTTCCACTCATTGTATATATGCTCATTGGGTCTACTCATTTAGTTATTTATTTTTGCCAAAAAACAAATCTTATGATGATCTGTTCGTAGGACAATAAAGCGTTCCCACTGCAGTATATACTTGGGAAAGAGAAAAGGGTCGATGACAGCCAACAAAAGACGCCCCTAATATGCAGCAACTAAAAGGTAATCACGATAACTCTTTAGATGGGGCGACATGGATTGTCTTGGGGTTCTCCCCAAGTTAAACTGAGATACTCGAGACTGTTATTATTCAAAATTGAATTCGATATCCGTGCGCTGATGCTTTTTCACCATCTACCGTGTCTCCATGTAAATAAGACTGGGTCTTATTTAAATTTTCTTTCGAAGACTAACACTAGGGCTTATTTTCAGGAGATATCTTTTATTTTCATTTATAAAAAATAAAAATTACAAAGTAGAGAATTACGAGATTTTCAAATATACAAAATATGAAAACCGATATCCATTTACTTAAAATAACACGTTTTAGATTAATCATTTAAAACGTATAGGAGAGATTTCTTGCTATCGACTAGGTCAAAAAAAAATTTCGCGCTGTTGACTAGGTGTTATTTTTAAGCGGAGAGCTTATAATAAAATCATTCTTAAAATTCAAGCTTAGTCTTATATTTCGGGTAGATCTTATTTTCGGGGAACCATTTACAAAGTAACCTTCGAATTTGTATCAAATTTCAGTATACGGACGAACAAAATAAAATATCAAAGCTAAAAACATTTTCTATGTACAATTGATGGGCCAGCCTCGTCATATTCTTGTTTTGAAATCCACATTTGTTGGAATGTTGATAGAGATGCAAGAATTGATCCTCCGATCCACACAGAATACTTTCTTTCTGGAGGAGCGATGATCTTGATTTTCATTGTACTTGGTGCAAGAGCAGTGATTTCTTTTTGCATACGATCAGCAATACCAGGATACATTGTGGTTCCACCAGAGAGAACATTGTTGGCGTACAAGTCTTTACGAATATCGATATCGCACTTCATTATAGAATTGTATGTAGTTTCGTGTATTCCAGCAGATTCCATACCTTAAATTTAATTCAATTACAATTAATAAAGCAAAACATGCTCTTGAATTTTATCGAACTAACTTATATGGAATATATTATGAAATACAGTGTGGCACGATGCTTACGAATGCTATCTCGTTAGTTTTTCTGATGCTATTTCATCTTCATCGAGACTGGGTGTCAGTATTAGTTATCTACAAGATTGGAAATATATAAATCGACTTACCAATAAATGATGGCTGGAAAAGAGTTTCAGGGCATCTGAATCTTTCGTTACCAATTGTAATGACCTGACCATCAGGAAGTTCGTAGCTTTTTTCGAGCGATGTAGAAGATGCAGCAGTCGCCATTTCTTGTTCAAAGTCGAGTGCAACATAGCACAACTTTTCTTTGATATCTCGGACAATTTCCCGTTCAGCAGTCGTGACGAAGGAGTACCCTCTTTCTGTAAGAATCTTCATCAAGTAATCGGTCAGATCTCGTCCAGCCAAATCAAGCCGAGCAATTGCATGGGGAAGCGCATATCCTTCATAAATTGGCACATTGTGCGAAACCCCATCTCCTGCATCCATGACAATACCTGTAGTTCTGCCTGATGCATACAACGACAAAACGGCCTGAATGGCTACGTACATTGCTGGAACGTTGAATGTTTCGAACATGATTTGAGTCATCTTTTCTCTATTTGCTTTTGGGTTCAATGGGGCTTCAGTTAAAAGAGTTGGGTGTTCTTCAGGCGCAACTCGTAGTTCGTTGTACATTGTATGATGCCAAATCTTTTCCATGTCGTCCCAATTGGTAATGATTCCATGTTCAATCGGATATTTGAGTGTCAAAATTCCTCTCTTGCTTTGTGCTTCATCACCGACATAGCTATCTTTTTGTCCCATTCCTACCATCACGCCTTGATGTCTTGGTCTTCCGACAATGGAAGGGAACACGGCTCTGGGAGCATCATCACCAGCAAATCCAGATTTAACTAATCCAGATCCGTTGTCACAGACAATTGCGGTTTGATCTTCCTCTCCGTCAGACATAGTTTAATTTAGGAAGGTAAACGTATTTGTAGATTAGAAGACTTGAACTGTCGAATGATGATGAAATTTGATCTACGCACTTATTTATATTACTTGATGTCTTGGAATGTACGAAATTTCAATATCCCGGCTGTTTAAATTACTAACCAGCACTGTTCACAACCTATTTTAGCATATTTTCGCACATTTTCGTGACACTACAACCGCGTGAGAACTTGCACTTTTATTTAGATACCATAAAAGAGAAGATATATTCTTCACTTATCGTAGCTGTCACGACATTGATCCCAGAGATTTCATTGTGAGAAGTTTTATGTGATACTTTGCTCAACTAGTTGAGCAAGAGATGATTGTATATACAAAAAATTCTACAAATAACAAATAAATACAAAATTTACAAATAATTCAGTTCCTTCATTTGATCATCAAAATTGCAATAGAAGCTACGTTGAATGGTGAAGTAATACTTCGTACAATACCTTGCTTTTTGTATCATAGCACTATTTTCTGCTTGAGGCATCATATTTCTTATTTATTTCTCATGTATTTGCTGAACCGGATTGATACCTTTTAATCTAGCATGAGCTTTTTGACAGCCACCTCCAACCGGTCTGTTGATTCGAAGAAAATTTATATTCGATTCCTACTCTAAACTCCGAGATTCCGATTCCAGGTGAAGGAAATTTTGGTTCCATATCCCAACTTTTTTTAGTCAACTCTCCGAGAGTGAAAATAGTAAAATGCTCACTTCCCAGTACAGACTGAACTCTAATTCATAAAGTTGTCGTTTTCCCCAAATCGCTATATATAGGTGATGAAAGCTCACATTTTCATCAATGTAAAGGAGATTTTGTACCTTTGTGCCCACACATTCAAGCACCCGCATCAGATTAGAACCGCGCACATTAAAACCCAAGTACATGAGCAGGAGCACCCATAGACGCTTGTACCCATCATTAACACCAACCGAATTTGAACTCACGTACATTTCAAACATGGACATTTTAATGCACAGACATCTGCACCCGTGGATATTTGCACCCATGGATATTCTAACCCACAGTCATTTTCATTCTCGAAAATTCAATAAATATATATTGACATTAAGGTGGTTTACAAACTCTAAGTAAATTCTTGGTGAGGCTCGGTACATTATTCCAATCATTGTTAGTTAAAATCCTTTATCACACTTTTGCCCTTTGTTGGTAATTGTCTTTCCACAAATCATCGCAAACATAGTCGGCGGTCGATTAGTACACGCTGGAAATTGTATGTATGAAAACTGAATACTAATAAATTGTTCAAGTCAGAGTTGACCAATCACGCAAGAGAAACGTGCTTCAATAAGTAACAATGACAACAACAACAACGGATCGTGTGAAGAACCCTATCCCTCCTATACGCACACATGTTGAATTCGAATTATTCCGTTGAACATTGAGGCACCTTTGAATATTCGTCTATGGACATTTCTAAGGTGCTCCCTTCCCCTTGGTGACATAAGCACCTGCTTATATTGCTTAATGGAAATCTAGAACTGATTACAGTGAACGTACAGTTGCATATATGGCATTTCGATATGGTTTGTCGATTATAATCTTTCCTACTACGGCATATATCAGTAAAAGATAAAGAAGCGAGGTCTATCAGTTACGAAACGTCTTAACTGGATTACAGTCGGTCGGACGGTTTCTAACCGGTTGAAGTGACTTTTCCATTGACTGTATAATATCTTATGCCATCTATCGGCTTCTCTAGGTGTGGCAACATTTTTAGGTTTTAAATCTAAATAGCCTAAATATTTAATTTAGGCCTACATCTTTCTCGAGGCGCAGTCATAGCCATTATATGGCGGCTCTTATATGACGCTTTCATAGGTTGTTACTACATGACATGGTTGCGGCAGCTCTTGCCATTGTTCATGGCGTATTACAAATAGATGCTATGAGTAGAGATGTAAGTTTTAGAATTTCGAATCGAAGCGATTCGAATCAACGTCAATTCGAATCGATTCGGAGCAATTTGAGAAAAGAGGGCTTGATTCTACATAAAAAAAATAATTTAGATAGCACGAGGCGATTGCACGACACAGTGACGTTGTCTCATAATCGACCAGAAGCGTATATTTTTCCTGCGTTTACAGCTTCTCTCGCATCATTTGCTTTCTTTGAAATCACGGCCCAAGTGGTACTGAAGCATGGTTCACTGAGGCGTATCATTTGGATGAATTTTAAAGGTTAATTCTAGAAGAAACGATCACTATATATTCGGTATTGTTGGCGAACATAAATTTATGTAATAAGTAAATATAACTGAATGTAACTCTATGTAACTAAATAAAATATTCTCTAATATATTTTAAAGATTAAGCATCAATTCAATGTGTTCTTCTACTAGCTTTACTCATTCTTCATGTTCGTTATTGTTATTTAATCATAATTTATGCTATAGTTGAAATAGTTCTCTCAAATTTGAAGGAATTTAACGATAATGTGATGTTATACTAAATAGAATCAGATTCGAAAATTTTCGAATCGGAACTTTCCGATTCGGAATTCGATTCGAAATTAAAATATTCAAAACTTACATCCCTTGCTATGTTTGCTATTCTTCATTAAAAACGCAGGTATTCGATGCTTCTCTCGCATCATTTGCTTTCTTTAAAATCACGGCCCAAGTGGTACTGAAGCATGTTTAACTGAGGCGTATCATTTGGATGAATTAGGTTAATTCTAGAAGAAACGATCACTATATATTCGGTATTGTTGGCGAACATAAATTTATGTAATAAGTAAATATAACTGAATCGGAAACTTTCCGATTCGGAATTCGATTCGAAATTAAAATATTCAAAACTTACATCCCTTGCTATGAGAGCTTACCCGCCATGGTTTCCGATTTGCTGCGTAGTACCCCACCTCACACCATTATTTGTGGCAGTCTAAAAGTCAAACGCAATGGTTTGGGCATGGTGGCCGTGAGTATACGGCCACAAAGTGGTAAACGAGAATATCGGTCGGGGACCGAAGACTTATCGATCAAAACTGCGATTTCGATTCGTGACTCTATAGTGACACCGCGTGTCCCATAACCAATTAAAAAATAACTCGCTAATTATACGACATAATTCATCCAAACTCAATAGACTTCTGGTCCGAGATATGATGAATGCACATGCAAAATTTGGAGCAGATTCAATCTCGCCTTCGTGGGATATCGCGTTCATCTAACAGACAAACAAACAGAGAGACGGACAATTACCTATCAATATACTTACCGATCTTAAGATCGATAAGTAATAACTGCACTTGTCTTTCTGTGTAGTATTATCCACTTCCATCTTATCAGTAGAGTTTGCTTTCAGCACCGAAGAGTTAAAAACTGAGATAACCATGACCGTTATCATTCAAAGGCGAATATGATATCGAGACGCTGATGCCTTTGTGCCAGCTTCATATTTATCCATATTAGTTTATTCCAATTATTTATTATTTTTAGAATCAACTCTTCGTATTAAATTTTAGTTAAAACGAGCAAAATAAATATCCAAAGTTAAAAACATTTTCTATGCACAATCGATGGACCAGCTTCGTCATATTCTTGCTTTGAAATCCACATTTGTTGGAATGTTGATAGAGATGCAAGAATTGATCCTCCGATCCACACAGAATATTTTCTTTCAGGAGGAGCGATGATCTTGATTTTCATTGTACTTGGTGCAAGAGCAGTGATTTCTTTCTGCATACGATCAGCAATACCAGGATACATTGTGGTTCCACCAGAGAGAACATTGTTGGCGTACAAGTCTTTACGAATATCAATATCGCACTTCATTATAGAATTGTATGTAGTTTCGTGTATTCCAGCAGATTCCATACCTTAAAATTAATTGAATGACAATTAATAAAGCAAAACGAGCTCTTGAATTTTATCAAATAAACTTCTATGGAATATATTATGAAATGCAATGTTGCATGTTTACGGAGGCTATCTCGTTAGTTGTTCTAGTGCTATTTCATCTCCAACGAGACTGGTCGTCAGTATTAGTTATCTACGAGATTGAAAATATATAAATCGACTTACCAATAAATGATGGCTGGAAAAGAGTTTCAGGACATCTGAATCTTTCGTTACCAATTGTAATGACCTGACCATCAGGAAGTTCGTAGCTTTTTTCGAGCGATGTAGAAGATGCAGCAGTCGCCATTTCTTGTTCAAAGTCGAGTGCAACATAGCACAATTTTTCTTTGATATCTCGGACAATTTCCCGTTCAGCAGTCGTGACGAAGGAGTACCCTCTTTCTGTAAGAATCTTCATCAAGTAATCGGTCAGATCTCGTCCAGCCAAATCAAGCCGAGCAATTGCATGGGGAAGCGCATATCCCTCATAAATTGGCACATTGTGCGAAACCCCATCTCCTGCATCCATGACAATACCTGTTGTTCTGCCTGATGCATACAACGACAAAACGGCCTGAATGGCTACGTACATTGCTGGAACGTTGAATGTTTCGAACATTATTTGAGTCATCTTTTCTCTATTTGCTTTTGGGTTCAATGGGGCTTCAGTTAAAAGAGTTGGGTGTTCTTCAGGCGCAACTCGTAGTTCGTTATACATTGTATGATGCCAAATTTTTTCCATGTCGTCCCAATTGGTAATGATTCCATGTTCAATCGGATATTTAAGCGTCAGAATTCCTCTTTTGCTTTGAGCTTCATCACCGACATAGCTATCTTTTTGTCCCATTCCTACCATCACGCCTTGATGTCTTGGTCTTCCGACAATGGAAGGGAACACGGCTCTTGGGGCATCATCACCAGCAAATCCAGATTTAACTAATCCAGATCCGTTGTCACAGACAATTGCGGTTTGATCTTCTTCTCCGTCAGACATAGTTTAATTTAGGGAAGGTAAACGTATTTGTAGATTAGAAGACTTGAACTGTCGAATGATGATGAAATTTGATCTACGCACTTATTTATATTACTTGATGTCTTGGAATGTACGAAATTTCAATATCCCGGCTGTTTAAATTACTAACCAGCACTGTTCACAACCTATTTTAGCATATTTTCGCACATTTTCGTGACACCACAACCGCGTGACA